TTTTGGGGTGAGCTGGAGAGGAAAGAATGGCACCCTGTGGAGGCTCCCAGAGCTTCCAGGTTCTTGGGTTCTTAGTTGCCCAGAGCCTGGTGCTGGGGTCAAGGATTGCCAGGTCCTTCCCACAGCCCCACATTGGCCGGCTGGGTGCCGCCTCCCGGTGCCTGCCCTGCGGAAGGCTCGTCTCTCCCGCCAGGTGTGGAGGCAGATGCTGCATCTGGGGCTTCAGCCCAGCCGGCACGGCTACAACCTGCTGTTGGGGGCAGCTCGGGACTGCGGCCTGGGGGACCCGGAGGTGGCCGCGGCCGTGCTTCTGAGGCCCAGGAAGGAGATGGCCCTGTTGCAGCCCCTGGCAGGCAGGCAGCGGGCAAAGAGGAGAGCCCGGGCCGGGGCTGACAGCAGCACGTCGGCCAGGCTGCTTGTGGAGGCCCTGGAGAGGCAGTTGTTTTGGGAACCTTCTCAGGCACTTGAGGGGTCTCCGGAAATTCAGGAGGCTGGGGCCCCCAGCATGGCCCAACCTGGAGCGGAAACGAAGGCGGAGCCTGATCACAGGGTGGCCCTCCCCTCTGTGGCCCCGGAACCTCCTCCCTGGGGGCTGAAGGCCAACCTTCTGACCATGGGGGCGGTCCCCTCAGCGGTGGTGTCCTTTGGGACCGTGACCACCCCAGCCGACAGACTGGCCTTGATGGGGGGCCTGGAGGGTTTCCTGGGCAAGATGGCGGAGCACGGGCTTCGGCCCGACATCAAGACCCTCACGCTGCTGGCTGAGGCGGTGGAGCCCGGGAGCCCCGCAGAGTCCTCGCTGCTGAGCGTCCTGGACACGCACCAGGTGGAGGCTGACGTGACCTTCTTCAACACACTGATGAGGAAGAAGAGCAGGCGGGGTGATCTGGATGGGGCGAAGGTGAGGGGCTCGGGGGCACAGGGCCCTTGGCTGGGCCCCTGCCCTGCCCGGTGTGTCGTCCATCCCCGCAGTAGGGGCGCAGACTGTCCAGGCCCCCACTCTGGGCCTGGACTGGGGTGGAAAGCTGGGAATGCATTGGTGGACCAGCCACACTTCCCGCCCTTCCAGGGGAGCTCCCAGTGGTGGGAGGCAGACACCAGACACGTCCTCACACTGATGAGGGGTGTGGGGCCTGTGGGGACACGTGGCCTGGGAGGCTGGTGGCCCCCCGGGTTGACATCATGCTCACTCGGAGCTCGATGCTGTTCGGAGAGCGTCATGTCAATTTGTTTCTTTACTGACCACACCTGGAGGCACTGTGGGCGTGTGGTGGTCCTCATTTCACAGATGGGGACACCAGGGCCCTCACGGGAATTTTGTCCTTTTGTGCATGTTTCAGCGTGATACCCTATTTGCCAGGAGCACTGACCTGGGCCCTCGTGAGCATTGAGGGTGCCCCTGGTGTCTCCAGCATCCAGCCGCCGGCGTCACCAGAGAAGGCTCTTGCTTGGGCTGGTGGGCTGCAGCTTACACTGATGCCATGTCTGTGCCCGCAGGCCCTGCTGCCAGTCCTGGCAAGGAGAGGAATTATCCCCAACTTGCAGACGTTCTGCAACCTGGCCATCGGGTGCCACAGGCCAGCGGATGGTCTGCAGCTGCTCACAGACATGAAGGTGAGGGGGCATGGGCCTGGGCAGGACCCGTGGTGTGGAAGAAGAAAGCTGGGTCAGGGAGGTGGGGGCCCTCCCAAAGCCCCAGACCTCTGCAGTCAGGGTAGACTGCTGGGGGGTGCAGGGAGTATGGGGTCACTCTAGCTTCAGGTATAGAACAGTCACTGGCCCAACTTGGAAGAAGGTAGATGCTGGTGAGCCGCTGCACAGAGAGGGGGTATCATGATCTTGAAGGTGGTGGCCTCGGGGTGAGATTGAGGCGTGGGGACAGGTCTCGGCCCCAGCCCTCTGAGGGATGGAGAGTGTGGCTGGAGCAGGGCTGTATCAGAATTCTTGGGGGACAGAGGCTACAGTAAATTCACGGGAGGTGGTCTGCCTGTGGTTACCGCCTGAGTCTATTGTCTCAGAACAACACTGGTTACTCTCCGGGCTCTTCAGGGCTGGGAGGTAGGGCCCTCAGCTGGGTGAGCTGGACCCACACGTGCTTTCCCTTTGGAGTGGGAGTGCAGCCCGTGGCTGCTACGAGGTCCTGCCCGTCTTGTCCCTGGTGGCTGGTCTGCAGAGCAGGCCTGACTGGCAGGGTCACGCCCCAAGCCTGACACGCCACAGCGGCCATCATCTTGCTGACTGTGTCTGTGATGTTCCAGAGATCCCAGATGACCCCCAACACCCACTTCTACAGCACCCTCATCAACGCAGCCCTCAAGAAGCTGGACTACACCTATCTTATCGACATCCTGAAGGACATGAGGCGGGACAGAGTCCCGGTGAATGAAGTGGTCATCCGCCAGCTGGAGTTTGCCGCCCAGTACCCCCCCACCTTTGACCGGGTACATGCCCCCGTCTCCTCACCAGCGCCCCTCCTGCCCCCGGGTCCAGCCTCCCGGGATTGGCATCCCCTGGCTTTAAACTGACAGTGGCTTCCCTTGAAAATCCCGAACTCCTCAGACCACAGCGTCCACGTGGCTCTTTCATCTCAGGCCACGCTTCCCTTGGTTCACTGCGTCAGTCCCGCTGGCCTTCGCCCATTTCTGGATAACACCAGCCTCTGCCCTCCACCCTGAATAGGCGCCCCTGCTTGTCACGTGTCTGGTTCCTTCTCATCCCGTAGGTCTCGGCTTAGCTGGCTCTTTCTCCACGTGGCACTGTGCCTTTCCCCAGTTTTCCAGCCTGTAGTTATGTGTGCACGTGTGTGACTCTCGCCTTGAGATCATCAGCCCCTGGAGGTGGAGACTGTCTCCCTTGCTCACATGGGTCCCGAGTGCCTGCCCATTGTCTGGTGCCCGGTGTAGACTGTCAAGTGAACGGGACGGCTGGGCAGTGATGGAACCTGATATGTAACGGCCGTTCCTCTCCCTCATTCTGAGGAGTCAGGGGTGGCTGTGCAGGGCTGTTTGAGTGCCATTGTTAAGACTTAGAATTAGGCTGCCAGGCAGAGGGCATAGCTGGGCATCTTTGAACAGTTGACTGTTAGTGTTGTCTTACTGATTCCTCGGAGTTCTTTATATATTCCGGATGTCAGTCTTTTGTTGGTTCCATGTTGCAAATAACTTCTAGTTAGTTGTGTCCACTCTGTGTGGGGCCCACAGTCAACAGTCACCAAACTCCCATCGGCTTGAAGCTGATTGTGTTCAGTCACACACTCCTGCTCCCTTGTGGTGGGCTCATTTCTGCTGGTGGTGGGCTCGTTTCTGCTTGCGATAGTCGTTTTGCTTCCTGTACATCGAGGCTGTATTAGGTACAAGTTTAGAGGTGTTCGGTCTTTTGAATCAACCCTTTTGTCATCACGTGGTCTTTGTCAGACTTTTTTGGGTTTTTTGGTGTATTCCTCTACCCTCTTTCTCTTGGCATCTGTCTGGCACACTGTTTCCTTTTCTCCCACTACCTCTGCACAGAGAACACGGCAGCAGTGCTGAGGGGACGGTCAGCAGGGAGCAGCGCCTGTGCCCAGGGGGAGGCGCTCAGCAGACCGTGGGGTCAGTCTGTGGCACCCAGCGACTGTAGCTGTGGGGGCCGGGGTGCTATCCTGGGTATAGGAGCTCAGTTGCACATACTTAGGAAGGATGGTTAGCAGATGGGAGTCTGGGCCCGCCCCACGGTACAGCTTTGTTTCTCCGTGGCACACTACTCAGTATTGAACGGCATTTCTGCCCTCTCTCTTGACCACCTGGAAGCCGGAACAGCTTCCCTGAGGCCTGAGCCAGCTGCCATGATTTGGGGTGAGCTATGTATGTAGCATGCAACGAGTCTGATCATGGCCCCCCTGAACCCGGAACCCCATGCTTTTCCAATTACAGTACAAAGGGAAGAACACTTACCTGGAGAAGATCGATGGCTTCCGAGCTTATTATAAGCAATGGCTGAAAGTGATGCCAGCAGAGGAAACCCCCCACCCATGGCAGAAGTTCCGAACCAGACCAAAGGGAGAGCAGGACACCGTCACCATGGCTGATGTGGACAGAGACCCTGGGGGCCAGTGATGGGGAGACCCTGGGGACCTCCAGCAGAGCTGGAACCAAGTGCACAGCCTTTCCAGGGCTTTGGGGGAGCCCCAGGAGTCCCTCTCATGTAAGAGTCGTGAACGTGCTGCTGTAGCTGCAGGTATGAAGGGAAAGGTCTGGTCCAGGACAAAGTGAGAGCTGCAGCCTTTCCAGGCATTGGTCTGAGGACAATTGCTGGGCCCCGTGTGCCCAAGTTCATGGCAAGTCCCAGGGAGCATGGGCCACCATGGTATACCATCTCAGGCCATCCTCACCTGAGAGGTTGTCACCCCCATCACTGATGAGAGTGAATCTGCTCAAGGTGGAGTTGTCCTAAAGGCAACTGGTCTCCAGGGCCTGGTGCTGTCCCACTGGGTCCCACTGGCTCTGAGAGAAGGAGTGCAGGGCCCAACAGGTTTAAAAGTTTTATTTCTACAAATCACAGCTGATGAACACCAAACCCTTCGCACGTAGAGACCATGCTCCAACTCGGGCCTTGGGTGCCGCTCTGTGGGTAGAGCTGCTTCTAGGAAAGGGGCAGTGTGACAGGCAGACTCCTGCGCAGCCAAGAGTCCAGGGCGGAGGCGGTCATGGTGCAAGGGCCTCAGCCGGAGCAGCCTCGGCAGCCACAGTGCGTGCATTCGATGATCCGGCCCTGCGGACAGAGGACAACTGAGCCACCACGCCCCCGACACGTGCCGCACACCCTTGTGCAGGTGTCCTCCTGCAGGAGGGGTGGCCACAGGACACTTACTGCCCACTCAGAAACCCTCTGTGACAGTTCTGGATGGGGAGAATTCCGTTCCCTTGTGATAGTGGAAACCGCTACCGCTGATAAACTGAAGTTACAACTTTTAAGTGTATTTAATTTATGCAAATTCAGTGTACACATCTGCTCCCAAAAAAGGAAAACAATCTGAATGATTCTTGTTATTCTGCGAGGCAGAGATACCCTGCAGTGAGCGGAGGCGGGTCTGCTACTGCTCCGAGGGCTCAGTGCCAGGGGCCCAGGGCCGCCTCTGGGGAAACTTTCTAGTGGGGTGTGGGGAGAGAGACGGTGTGCTCCAGAATCTGTGGCAGCAGAACAGTCCCGCCCCCCGGGCCAGGTGTAGCCTGATGTCTGGCCGAGGGCCTGCCCCAGAGCAACAGTGTTCATCATCTTCCTTTTTCCTCTTTTTTTGGAGGAGCAAAACCCTTGTCTAAGCAAACAAGATCCGGTGATGAAACCCAAGCTAAATCCAAAGCAGGCTCTGTTCTGGCCACGGGGCTGGGGCAGCACCCCAGGTAGATGTCGCCATGGAATCCTGGGGGTCCCAGAGGAGCAGGGCTTCTGCTGCCCTGCTCCAAGAACCAGCAGCAGCGCCCTCCCTTAGGGAGGCGTCCCTTCCTCGCTCTCCATTGCTCAGTGTGCCTGTCCTTGAACTTCCAGATGATTCTGGGAGACACAGGTGCCTGCTGAGCTAAAAGCCCTTGGCCCAGAGCCGAAGCTCTACAAACTGTAACTAGAGCTGCAGCGGGAAGGGACCTGATGACATGAAGGGAACTGGTGATGAGGGACCCTGTGGAAGAAGCCACCTGGGCTGAACTCAGCGGGGCCCACAGCGGTCAGCTGAGGGGCTACACTCAAAGGCCATTCTGGCCTCCTCCTGCAGCCCCACTTTGGGAGGTGCTGGTGCCTGGAGCTCAGCTACCGCACACCCAGGACCGTCCCCGAGCCACCCAGCCTAGCTTTGGGACAGGAAGTTCTGACAAGGAATGCAGTGATGGCAGGAGGGTGTAGCCCAGTGGTGGAGTGCGTACTCAGCATGCACGAGGTCCTGGGTTCAATCCCCATACCTCTATTTTTTAAACAAACAAGAAATGCAGTGATGATTATGTTAACGTGACACTGGGAAGAAAAAGAGGCCTGCAGAGTAGGGTGGCTGAAGGGCAAGCACTGGGGGGAGATGGATGCCTCCTGCCGACTGGCCCATCCTCCCCCCAACTCAGCCCTCACAGCCACCTTGGGGGGGTCGTCACCCCCACTTTGCAAGTGAGAAAAGGAGCCTAATAATTTGCCCACAGGAGTTGAGACTGGCCCTCAGACCTAACAAACACGATTACTGCCAAGCTGCCTGGTACAGCTCCCCCAACAGAGGGACTCACTCCAGGGGTGTGGGGGTGGCCAGTAGGACATCCAGCCACAAAACTACATTCCAGCCCAACAAAATAACAAAGTCCCTTGCAGTCAACTAGGGCAGAACCCTGAACAGAGAGTAACATCAAACTCAATCGTCAGACATTACGGGGGTGGGGGGAGCAGCATTACCACTTCCAGCTTGCTTTTGGGGACCCGGCAAATGCAGTTTGTCCCAAAATTGGTGTCCCGTGTCTGAATGCACCGCAGGCAGCATAAGTTCTCGTAGCCCTGCTTTTTCCATTTTGCGATCAGGTTTTTATCTGCGTAGCCTTCCTTAATACAATATTCATAGAGTTCTGTCAAAAAGTGGGGAAAGGCATCAGACCATGGTGTAACAAAGCTCCCCCAACCCATCACTACCCACCTGTTAAAA